GCTCAGATTCTTAATTCGGGGTTTTTCCTTTGGCAGCTGCTTGTGTAAAAGCTTTACAAGCTAAGAATCTGAGGGGCTCAGATTCTTAATTCGGATTTTTCCTTCGGCATCTGAGGGGCTCGGTTCTTAACTGGAGGTCTGTGATTTGTGTGCCAAAGCTTACAAGCCGAGGGACTCAGATTCTTAATTCCTTGTGTTAAAAGCTTTACAACCTAAGATTTTCGAGTTGTCGTGAGTGGAAAGTACCAATGACAAGCAAAAAAAACAACTGGATTAAGAATGTGCCCTCAGATTTCAGGGGGGGCTCAAATTCTTAAGTCAAAGGCACCCATTAAGGGGCGGAAACAATCCAATGCATAAGAAATTTCAGCCCCTCAAATTCTTAAGCAAGGAATTCTTAAGCAATACTCCCGCTGTAGGGGTTATTGTTTTTTTTATTTATTCTTTTGGGGTTCTTAAGCAAATAGAAGTTTAGGGACAGGCATATGAGGCCACCGAGGTATGTTAAGGGGCCCTAAATCCTAAACCTTAAACCGTGCATTCATGGCATCCCTGTGCGGTTTAGGGTTTAGGGTTTAGGGTTTAGGGTTTAGGGTTTAGGGTTTAGGGTTTAGGGTTTAGGGTTTAGGGTTTAACCCGAAACCCTAAACCCTAAACTCGAAACCAGTCTCCAGCATATAAGCCCTTCATCAGACAACCCTTCGTTGAGGGGAGAGTATGGATTGCCACCATATACTGCTCATTGCTCATGCTAATCCTGGCCTACCTTCCTAGGGTTTTGGGTTCAGGTTCAGGGTTCAGGGTTTAAAAGTGAAGCTCAGGGTCATGTTTCAGTCTACTCCGGTTTCATGTGACGCCGTGGCAGGGGTCTGTGGATGTCGAAGACAGCAAGGAGCGGGGCCTACTTACGTTTTGACTCTGGCATGCTGTGCCCCCTGCTTTTGCAACGGATGCCATTGCACAGCAACTTTTGCGCGAGTTGGAGCCAATCCCCAAACCCCAGACCCTATAAGCCCGAACGCCCTAAACGCAACAAAGCTCGCACACCATAAACCCTTTAGTCAAGCCTTAACAGTCTGCTCCTGATTCCTTACCAGGCCCCCAAATGCCAAGTGTAGGCCCCCAGGGGGCCCCCAAATGCCAAGTGTTTTTTTTGTAGGGGCGTTAGACCTTCGCGAGACTTGAGAACAAATACCTGGGGAGTTGTAAGAAAGTTCATAAGCAGAGAGTTCGTAGATCAAAGGGTTGGGGGTTTCAGGTTTTGGGTTTAGGGTCACGCCGTCGGTTCCTTGAAGGGCGAATGTCAATGCTGGGCAAGTATACTCGGAAGGTAAGGACGCTGGCGCCCATGGTCCCTGTGTTGGTACTTTTGTCTGTAAGATTTTTGTTCTTGCCGCAGAAAACTCGGAAACTCCTAATGCCTAAACTCCTAACCCCAAAACTCCTAAACCCTAAACCCAGTTAAGGGCTTATGTTGCAGGAAAGCAGGGTTTCGCGTTTTCGAGTTTATATAGTTCGGGCTGGGCAGGCACATTGTCATAGTGTCCATGGGCGTCTCGAGCTCAACTCACGTGTGAAGCCTCCGGACAGCCAAACCCCTTTCAAAGACCCAAAGCCGCAAGCTCTGAACCCTCAGCTCCTAGCGAACCTTATCAAGCCTAAACCCTAAACCCTAAACCCTGAACCCTAAAACTTAAACCCTAAACCCTAAACCCTAAACTCTAAACCCTAAACCCCAAACCCTGAACCCTAAACCCTAAACCCTAAACCCTAAACCCTAAACCCTAAACCCTAAACCCTAAACCCTAAACCCTAAACCCTAAACCCAAGCAAGACAAAGCTGCCTGGCAGGAGCGCCTCCCTCTGCCAGCTCCCCAGACTCCCGAGCTTGTAGGATCCCGGGGTTCTGGGTTTAGGGTTTAGGGTTTAGGGTTTAGGGTTTCGGGTTTAGGGTTTAGGGTTTAGGGTTTAGGGTTCAGGGTTTAGGGTTTAGGGTTCAGGGTTGAGGGTTGAGGGTTTAGGGTTTAGGGTTTAGGGTGCTGCTTGGCGTGTAGGGCGTTTCGGGCCGAGAGGCTTGCTAAAGGCCCTAGAAGCCCTGAAGATAAATGCGGGGTTTAGGGTTTAGGGTTTAGGGTTTAGGGTTCAGGGTTCTACGGTGTCTTTGACTTGGTAGCGGCGCCTTTCTCCCATTTTTGGTCCAAGGCTCTTATTGGAATATGATTGCTGGGCTACCAAGTTGAGTTTGGGTTTAGAGGGTTTACCCTCAGGCTCCAAGGACCCTCCCACCAGGGACCGGTACCTCCTAGGAAGGGTTCTGGGATCTCAAATCCTGAGGTTTTGAGGGCCCAAGAGCCTTAAACCCTAAACCCCAATCAACCCTAAACCCTAAACCCTAAACCCTAAACCCTAAGCCCTAAACGTATGTATTTTGGGTTTAGGGTAGTAATTAATAGTTGTCCATACGGGGCACCACCGTCATCGAGGGATTTGGGGTTGAGTTTCTGGATGTGATTTCTAAGTTTGGGGGCAGGGTTTAGGCTTCTGGTGGCGCGCTCAACCCTCAACCCGAACCCTAAACCCTACAGACGCCAAAACCCCGAAACCCGAATCCCTAAACCCTAAACCCTAAACCCTAAACCCTAAACCCTATAACCCCTAAACCCTAAGCCCTAAAAGCCCAGGCACCTGGCACTGCAACAGGGCCACTTCCAACTCGCCCGCTTCCTCTTGGATCGGCTCGAGGAGGAGGCTTCATGCCTTTAGAGGGACTTGGGGTTTAGGGTTTAGGGTTTAGGGTTTAGGGTTTAGGGTTTAGGGTTTCTCGCACTTGTTGTGGGTTTAGGGTTCAGGGTTCAGGGTTTTGGGTTTAGGGTTTAGGGTTCATGGGTTTGGGGCGGGTGGTTTAGGGATTAGGAACTAAGGGTGTTGGGGTGCAGCAGGTTGCACACTGCAAGGCCCTTGGGTCTCTCTGGGGGACACGAGGGTGATGGTTGACATGAGCTTTTCTCAATTCAGGGTGTGGGCGTTTCGCCGTGCATTGTTGTGCTCATTTGTCTATCTGTGTGTCTATCTTTACCTGTCTATCTGTGTGTATATATATACATACACATGTACTTACTTATATATGTATATATACATATATATATATGTACATATTTGTTCATTTATTACAGTAATACATCTTCTCTGGGGCGAGGGGGTTCTGGGGTGTTTGTTGTGTGCGTCCTAGGGTTTCGGACTTTAGGGCGTCCCGACTCTAGGAGTTTAGGGTTTGGTTCCATTTGGGGAGAATACAGCCCCCAAACCCTAAACCCTAAACCCTAAATCCTAAACCGCCATCCCCATCTACAGTTAGCTCCAAAAATTTCGAACATCCTTATCCCCATACCCAAAAGGTAGACTAATGGGAATCCCAGCTCTAATCATCCTGAAACTCAAGGGAATAAAGGAGGGACCCTTATGAGGGAGGGGTTGTTTAGGGGATGTTTGGGGGCTCCTTAGGTATATAGGGGCTATATAAGGTATATTAAGGGGTTATGTAGGGGAATACGATTGAGGGTCCCTTCTTAATCAACCCATCTAGAGCACCCGAGGCTGTGCAGCAGCCCGCCCACAGCAACCGAAAGAAGGCGTCAGGGTTGGGATTGTCCCTCGAAGTGCAACACTCAACAACCCTAAACCCGAAACCCTAAACCCCACACCCTAAACTCCTAAACCCTAAACCCCAGACCTAAACCCCAAACCCGAAACCCTAAACCCCACACCCTAAACTCCTAAACCCTAAACAACAGACCTAAACCACAAACCCTTAACCCTTCTTAGGGTCGAGCGTTCAGGGCTTAGGGGGGTCTAAGGGTTCGTTTGGTGCCGTCCAGGCGCTTAAATGACCCTACAGAAAGGGTACTTGTAGGGTGGAGTAGGATCTAGGGTGTAGGGTTTAGGGTTTAGGGTGTAGGGTTTGGTGGTGGGGGGGGGGACAAGCGTCCCGAAACAATGAGTCGGACACACCGGGCCTGGACACCTAGACCTCAAACCCTCAGCTCCTCAAACCCTCAGCTCCAAAACCCTAATTGAGTCCTAAACCCTAAACTCTAAATCCTCAACACCTGCTGTCAGATAGAAAAAAGCAACAATCTGCTCGGGCACCACGCGGCGCCCACCTGACGGCAGTCCAAGCAAAGAGACAAGCTGAAATGCTCCAAAAACCCTAAACCCGCAGGTTTAGGGTTTCATGTTTTGTGTTCTGGGAAGCTCTGAACCCGACACCTTCAAGGCACTGTCGAATCTTCTTCCTCCCAAGCGCAATATAGTTGTTTTTTGTGTTTTGGGGTTTGTTGAGCAAATCGTAGGAAATGCCAAACCCTAACCCCAGACCCTAAACCCCACACCCCAAACCCTAAACCATAAACCCTAAGCCCCAAACCCTAAACCCTAAACCTTAAACCCTAAACCCTAAACCCTAAACCTCAAAACCCCCCTTCAGTTTCAAGGTTTTCCCCTGACTTCCGTGGTGCCCCCCACGCCAGGAGGACTTGTCGGAGAAGTTGGCCTGCAGGTGCGGACATCTGCTTCGTCTAGGGGCCTAGGGTTTAGGGTTTAGGGTTTAGGGCTAGGGTTTAGGGTTTAGGATTTAGGGTTTAGGGTTTAGGGTTCAGGGTTTAGGGTTTAGGGTTCAGAAATGGCGCTCTTGTTGACTTGGAGGCTCTACGACCTGGCTCGACGGAACTTGCCATAGGGTTTAGGGCTTAGGATTTAGAGTTTAGGGCTTAGGGCTTAGGGCTTAGGGATTTGGTTTGTCAGTTTGAGTCCGCTGCCGCTGCTTGGCCTGGGCTAGCGTAGGGGCCTCAATAGTTAGATTTATTTTTGGGGGGGTATTGCAGTGGAATTCGGAAGGGACCGAAAAACTGAAGAGTCTTAGCAAGTATTCCGACCCCTGCATGAGCACAAGCACGGGCTCAAGGCTGCGTTTTCTCTAAGTTGTATCAGGCTGAGTTGGCAGCATGGTCGATGCAACCCACCTGCTGCACACCAGCGTGTTCAACACGATGCCAGATCTTAGGTGGGACTTTACCACAACCTTATCACTTTATAAGCTTAGGTTTCCCTAAACCCTAAACCCTAAACCCTAAACCCTAAACCCTAAACCCTAAACCCTAAACCCTAAACCCTAAACTATTGGGGGGGGTTAAAGAGCAGACAAGGATCCTGCTGCGCCGTCTCAATGTGTGCCTTCACTTCAGGACCCTGTCGCGCTGAACGACGGGTCCGGGCGAGTCTGCAACTGAGTAGCCCAGTGGTACCCTTTCATTTTTTTATGGGTTCCCTTCTAAAGTAACCAACCACAAAAGTGTGCCCTTATTATGATATGGTGACTGGGCTACCAAGGCCAAGATCCTCCAATTTGGATTTTTGATGGGCTCCTGTCTGAGAAGTTGCTGCAGCAGGTGGATGCAAAGCTTGACGTCTTGCCCTGGCACTCCATGAACGGAAGGTGCGTGCGCATGGCGGAGTTGGCCGTGGATGGTGCGCTGGAAGAGCTGCCGCAAAAGCTGCGCTCTGTCTGCCACATTGAAGATGTGGCAGAGTATGGGCGAACCTTGGGGAAGAATTATAACCCCCAAAATTGGGCTCATATACCCTGTACGACTAGAATTCCGATTAAGGTATATGAGCCCTAAACCCTTTTAGGGCTCATTGTGTCCCCAAGGAATATGGGTGATGGATGTGATCGGACGTGACCAGGGTCCACACATCGACGGCTGGGAGCTAGAGCAGGCAAAGCAGCAAATGCACGGCGTGGACTTATCCCGGTGCAGCGTGCAGGAGCACAAAGGCTTCAGCACGGTCATCCCCACGTTGTCCTTCGTGGTCTCTTCGGGGTACTTGGAAATAACTTTTTGTTTTTGGGTGCTATATAACTCCTAATAGCAAAAAATATCATGTTTGCTGTTCAGTATAGGTCTACTTCAACGATGTTGGTGGCATTGCCTTTCCTGAGGCGGAGCTCTCCACGCCCGTGATTCGGGCCAAGCGTGGCCGGATCGTGATGTTCCAGAATTACGATGACAGCAAGCGGCCTGCCCACAACCCCAAAGCAGTCCACTACGGCGTCTATGCAGGCTCAGGGGACGACGTGCCCTTCAAGCGCGTGCTCACAGCCGGGGTCATGGCAAGTGAGACACCGCCGCAGCTTCTGGGCAATCAGAAGGCTGCTCCCTCCATTCCCGGCTTCTTGGCAGCCCAGCAATTATTACCCTTTTCCCCCTAAACCCTAAACCCTAAACCCTAAACCCTAAACCCTATTTTTTTGAGTTCTGGTTTCCCTTATTAAAATATTTCTAAGCAACCCCAAAAAAGGGGGCCCTTATTGCAAGATGGTTTTTGGGCTACCAAGGCTTCCTCTACGCCCCCATCATGCACAGGTCCAACACATCTTGCGGCAGCATCGACAGCGACTACTACTCCCCACCAGCCCCCCCTCCCAAGGAGACTTATAAGGGTTTAGGGTTTAGGGTTTAGGGTTGCGCCAATAGTTCAACTTTAGACTTTTCGAAGGGTTTCCTTCCTGACTAGGAGTATTAAAGTTTAACCTTGTTTCCCCTTGGTTCTTGGAGACGTAACCCTAAACCCTAAACCCTAAACCCTAAACCCTAAAACCCTAAACCCTAAACCCTAAACCCTAAACCCAAACAGGAGAGGCCTCTGCTCCAGCTGCAGGCCCGGGGTGCAGACGATGGCAAGATCGTGGTGGAGGCTGTGAGTCTCTTGGCGTTCTTCAGGGTTGGCCCTTTAAGACTTTAACTTTTTGGGTTTGTAGAAACTACAATATGAGGAGCCTAAAAGTTAGGGTTTAGGGTTTGGGGTTTAGGGTTTAGGCTTTAGGGTTTAGGGTTTAGGGTTCAAGTCAGCCAAGGCCTGGCCGGGGAGCCGAAGGCCAAGCTGCTGGCAGAGCCTTCCATCACCGTGGGGCAGCTTACGAAGGAGCCTTAGTAGCTGAGTGAGCTTAGGGTTTAGGGTTTAGGGTTTAGGGCTTAGGGCTTAGGGCTTAGGGTTTAGGGTTTAGGGTGTAGGGTTCGTACACTGTACACCATTTTGGGGATACCGTTTATCCCCTATAGAGCTGAAAGCGCACACTTGTTTTGGAGGGCCTCTGAACCCAGCAACGCAGGAGCTGAGTTTGGAAGCCCGCCTGATCCTTGGTGGCCCTGTGGTACCCTTTCCCTTTTTTTGGTCAAGGGTTCCCTTCTAAAGTAACCAACCCAAACAAGGGTTGTCCTCATTGCAATATGGCCACCCTAAACCCTAAACCCTAAACCCTAAACCCTACACCCTACACCCTACACCCTAAACCCTAAACCCTAAACCCTAAACCCTAAACCCTAAACCCTAAACCCTAAACCCTAAACCCTAAACCCTAAACCCTAAACCCTAAACCCTAAACCCTACCAAGGATTGTGAAGGGCCACCTCCTGGAGAAGCAGCCCAACGACAAGCCTATGGCCGAGCTCGGGCTCCTGGAAGGCGTGGGTTTAGGGTTTAGGGTTTAGGGTTTAGGGTTGGTTTAGGGGTTTAGGGGTTTAGGGGTTTTGGGGTTTAGGGGTTTAGGGGTTTAGGGGTTTAGGGGTTTAGGGGTTTAGGGGTTTAGGGGTTTAGGGTTTTCGGGTTTTCGGGTTTTAGGGCTCCTCGAAGGCGTTGCCTTGTCCTCGCCCGCGTCCGCGACCGGCGAGGACGGCGAGGAGGGCGAGAAGGACGAGGGAGCGTACCCGGCGTGGGATGTCATCGACACCGTGTTCGCCAAGGATGCCGCTCCGAAAAAAGCCCCAAAGGGGCCAAGAAAGTGA